AAATGGACGTAGTATACATGATGCTGAAATGGCATCGGCTAAAAATGCATTAGAATCACATGCGTCAATGTTTCCACTATTACATTATCAAAAAACGGTATTAGAAAAAAAGTTTGTATCGTCATCGTCATCGCCGTCATCTCGTTCACTCTATAAATGGTATAGAATAAAAAGTGATCACTTTATAAATGGTGTAGAATGAAGGAGTAAGTTTTTTTTCTTGTTTGTTATATAGAAATGTACAAAAACATGTTGATTAAAAAATATGAATTCTTTTATCATTTGCGGTTTGCTACTGTAGAGAAACTTTTTGATGTTGGTTTATCTGTTGAAAATTTAGTGAATCATTGAATCAATTTGTCGAGTTGAAAAATCATTTGAGTCGGGTACTTTGTTTAACATATTGAAAACTGTTCAAACTTGTCGTGTCTGTCACACGTCTTATATACAACAATACAGTAGATAGACGATCGAGCACGTTTGCAGTTTCCCATCAAACGTTTTACGATGTAAATCGTTTCATTATATTATCATTTCAACCATACGATAGTCTAAAAGAAAAAGTAGCAACAGGAAAGGATTATTTTGTTGAACAATTGTGCTATAATCTTTTTAGCATTATTTATGTACAGCGTGATACCATTCTAAAACCACAATGAACACAGCCGACAACGTATTGAATAATGTGGAAACAGCATATTTGCCTCTTCTAAACTAACCTTTATCCGATCGAACAACGTTCGAAGTGTGTCAGTCACAATCACTTTACTTGAACCAGATACAATTGCTGGACTCGTAACGTTTGATAAAGGACATAGGCGGGTAAGCTAGAAAATCATCCCAAAAAAGAATCGATCTTTTTCGATTGGAAACGTGTCAGAAGGCCACTAGGACTGTTTTCCACCACTTAGTTTCTCAAAATTCGACTATGAGGTTTTTGACGCCTTTAGTCCCCTTCAGGATTTCTGAAAAACTGTTTTTCTCCGATATTTTCGAAACCATATGGGTTAGATGCAAAATTTGACGCTGATTACGAATATCACCTTCAAAATTGAAAAAGGTTGACTTTTCATGGAGAAAAGCGGGTTTTCCTAAATTCTGACTACGAGATGGTATTCTACAATAATACTAAATAAGGCTGCTACAAATCAGAGGTGGGCAAGTCCGACCATTTCGAAGTCCAAGTCAAGTCCAAGTCCAACGGAAAGTTTTTTTCTCAAGTCCAAGTCAAGTCCAAGTCCAACGGAAAGTTTTTTTCTCAAGTCCAAGTCAAGTCCAAGTCCACTGAAGCTCAAGTCCAAGTCCACTGAAGCTCAAGTCCAAGTCAAGTCCAAGTCCGATAAGAAATGCTTCAAGTCCGGACTTAAGTCCAAGTCCGGACTTGGACTTGCCCACCTCTGCTACAAATACTACTAAAAATGCTTTTTATAGCTTCAAAAGACGTTCAGAATATGTAAAAATGTTTTTTCTTTCAGAATATGTGTTTGAAAGAAGGATCCGTTTAGGTTAGGTGATTGAAAAATTCAAGACAAAACCTCGAAATCGACAAAAATCTACATTCTTTTCGTATTTTTGCCACTGTAACTGAACGAAAGTTGGAAGCAATGAGAAATTTATATTTACTAGACGACTTTCTATGTTTTCTCGAGTGGTCTTATTTTTAAAAAAAGATATGCTTTCTGCGCAAATTAGAAAAGGTTTTCGAAAACGGCGAAAACTCACTACATTTTTACATTATTACCATTCAAACAACGTTTTTATTCAAAATAAATGTCAGATTCGTCATCAGCACCGAAAACTCAGCCGGATCATGTGCATTTTAAACAGTCCTAAACATGTTTCCAATCGAAAAAAAAAATTCAATTCTGTTTTGGAATGATTTTCTCATAAATAACTTTAATAGATTAACGAGCTATGGCTGTCCTTTCAATGCATCGGAGACTTTATTTTCACAATCTTTCGAGATATAATCTCGTACGCAGTCGTATGCTCGTATTCAACGAACAAATATCATATAGTTTGTTCACAACTTAAGTTTTGAAAGTCTGTGGATGTTCTTCCCACAGAGGCCTGTGGACAAACTTTTTCTATTGCTCCGAGTCCGAACATGAACATTTTTATCCCGTTCTGTAAGCCCGAGCCCGTGAGCAAATAATGCGGTTCCGAATCTGTCTGTCTCGTAAAAAATTTTATGGGTTCTTTTGTGCCGTAATTTTTTGAAAATTTTTTTCTGTTGAGATAAACCGTAACTGTTACAAGAGACGCCTAAAGTCTCAAACTTATTTTTGCAAAATTCGCCTGGCAAAATTTAAGCCTAATTTATTTGATTATAAACTTAAAACTTGCTATATAAAGAATGTTTTATATCCACTCACTAGCTCAGAATCGAAAGGAAAGAACTGCAAACCGAGTTTTAGATATGAAACATCTCCTCAAGTTCAAATCCAGAGTATTTCGCCCCTCTAGTTTAATTTTTGTTAGTTATTATAAAATTATGATTTTTAATTTGATAGTATTACAAAAATTAAACATTTGAAGTTGCAGCATAATTACAATCAAAAGACAACTTACGGGGCAACATTTTTCTGCGACTTGCCCTGACTTAAGTCAGGGCCCGTAAAGTTATTGTTTTGTCCCGCGGGGCAGGATTCGGGGCTACCCCGCAGGACTCTACCTTCAAAATATGATCTTGATGATATATGTCGAGTAGGTATTGCTACTAATTCAGTTGCTTGATTATAACGGTTAATCGTATTATTTTCGTATAATGAAAATATTGCCCTTTTTGTGATGGAATTAAATTATCATCATCCGTTGATTATTCAAAAGATATCGTTCAACGGACGCCATATTTATACAGTTGTTTTTCATTTCTTAAACAACTTATTTGTTGCACTCCTTTTCCAAGTGTCGAAAAATACGCAATAAATAGAATATCAAGTATCATAACTCAAATGGATACGAGAAAGATGACGATCGGAAATAATAATGTCGGTAATGTGTGAGAAATGACAATGATCGCTAGGTAACGACTACTGTATTTTATGATTGTTGAAAAGATAAATTGGTGCATGTTTCATTTAATATAACGTTAAAAGTAGTTAATTTAAGTAAGTCTGGTTCAGAGATTTTCAAACCTAAACGTGACATAAAGCAATATGTGGCAGTCAAAGCAAATATAAGGATACAAATGGCTAATAACGCTCAAATTATAAATCCAAATAAGAAAGATTTAAAACTTTCAGAGACTGTCTACCTGAACTTGTTTTGCCTACCTAGCTACAGTGGCTGTCAAAATTGTGCGACCACCTAATGAAATTTTTTTGTTTGTTTCGTATCTGAGAGACGAAAGTAGCCAAAGACCTACAACTTGTACCATGTTGTAGCCCGTCGTCTCTAGTATGTTTGTGATTA